TGCAATTGTCATCAAAGTCTTTATTGTCTGTGGGGATAACCACATCTATGTCTTCTAAGATCTCTCTTCCCCAGAGGTTATTGGGAAGGTCTTCCAGCAGAAGGGGTGTAATTGCCCCTTCATTACCATCAGTCTGGGCCAAATTTTTTCACTATTTTCATAAATGTTTGTAGCATCTTCACGGGTTCCCAGACTCTTTGAAGAGGGCTGTCTCCACCCTGAGGCTGGAGAACCACAGGGAAAACCTGGGGGGGCAGAAGTTGTCCTTTTTTGGGGTTAGCATAGCCTCATATAGGGGCAACATAGGTGTTTGCAGAACTTGAGGGGGCCACCCAAGGATTTACATTGGAGGCTGCTCCCTCAACCACCCTAGGCCATTTCCCTACAGGGGCACAGGAGACTGCCACCATTCCCTTTGTGGCTGCAGGACACGGGTATATCGGTCGCTAGCCTCCTTCAGTCTCATTTTCACCGAGCTGATCCAACTCTGCGTATAGGGAAGTTACTTTTGGTTTGGCTTGGTCCTTATCTTCGGAGCCAGCAGGGGCCAAAGCAAGCCCAAAGGAGTCCTCAGCTTTTTCTGTCTCTCCAGGCTCTGCTACCAAGGTCAAAGAAGGTTGAGTGATAGCAGATCCCCTAAGGCAACTAAGAATAACCCGCTACTATAGGGAAAAAGTACAGTGGAAGTACATTCTCTACCTCTCACTTTCGTGCAATAATTGCAACCTGCTCCCGTTTGCTCATCCCAAATCTCTCCTATCAGCATCCTAGGGCACAGTTTAAAAACCTTGTCATAGAAATGTTTAAGTTTTTTATCTGAGAAAGTCACCTACTCTCTATATACCTTTCAGGATTTTTTTTTAAAATAGGATTTATTTAGTATACAGGGTTCTGTATGCATGTTCACCTGCAGGCCAGAAGGCGGCACTAGATCTCATTACAGATGATTGTGAGCCACCATGTGGACATTGGCAATTAATTCAGGACCTCCGGAAGAACAGCCAGTGCTCTTAACTTCTGAGCCATCTCTCCAGCCCTACCTTTCAGGATTTCTAACTGATTGTCCTTACACTGAGAACTTGAGTTACCATCCTGATTGGAGAGGTCTATTCACCTGCATTGATGAGGGGACCCTGACGTCCCTGTTGGAGAGTGCCAGCTGTGGGCATCAGGAACCAGAGGGGAAGGTGAAGTGAGAGCTGATGCAAGCCCATGTAGAATTCCAGGAATCAGACTCCGGAGACCAGACTCAAGGTGCAGGTCTAACTATTATCCAGAGTAATAGCTTTTAAATGATTGAAAGGCCAATCAGACCACCCCATGCTAGCCTCAAGCACCAGTAACAATCAGTTTGGTGCAACTCTAAGGAAATGTGGGAGATGTGGTGGGCAGGGGATGGAGGTAAGGTCACCTTGGGAGACTGCCTTAAAGAAGGGGGAAGCAGTCACCGCCCTAGCCTCAGATCCATTTTGAGTCTTTACTAGTGTGTTAGGGGTCCCTAGCAGATCAAAACTGTGTGCAGGGGATCAAGATCTTTTGAGGAGTCTTGGAGTCACTGAGGCTTTACTCACTGTTCCCCGCGGGCCTCCAAAAGGCTTACCTTGACATTACCCACACCACACAGTACACATCTCTGCGGAGTGAATGAATAGCTTTATGGTTTAGATATTTTTCAAGTAACTCAATTTATTTTCAAATCGTACTGTTTGAATTTAAATGTTCAAAATCATTGTGATGTTTTAGGATGTTCCCATCATTCAAACAACCCATATAGAAAAACATTAAACTCACATGTCAGTAATATAAACAAAATAAATTATTTTTAACAATGCCTTATATTTTGCTTTATTATACTAGACACATAAGTACAGTTAATTATCGCCAGTTTCTGCTTCCATCAATCTGAAAACTATGAAAATATTGTTACATATTTCTAAAAAATCAAACTGACACAGTCCATCAATTTTATGATGAAAAGAGGTAATTAATTTTGAAACGTTGGAAATCAGTGTTGGAAAAATAGGTTTAGAATCAAAGCTGCTGTATTTGAGAATAAGAACACAAATTGTACAAGAGATTTAAATTCTTTTAAAAATTTCAAAATTCTCTGTATGTACATTTGGCAGAGGGATGAATTGCCAGCCAACATACATCAATGATCATTACATTTCAAAGATTAAAATACTTGGTATGCAACCTAGAATAAATAGATACATAATTAAGATGAGCCTTAGGAATTTTATCTCTGAAAAGCAAGATCCCAATTTTGGCTACTATTTGGCCCTGACATAGTAAAGTCTGAACTACTAATGCAAAGTAGACAAAAAAAGCTTTATCTTTTTTTTTTCCCCAGAAAACCTGAAATGCCTGTACAATACAGAATAATGTTGGGTTTCATTTTACATTTATTTATTTTTAAAAAATAATTCATAATTAGTTTAAATTTAGATAGTTCAAATTTAATGAGATGCTCTAGGTCCTGGATGTTCCCATCCTTGACACAACCAAATAAAAGCACACAACTCAAATGTCCAGGTGACCAGTTTTCAGGGCTGAACACTGATCAGCTATTTATGATTCCTGTTCCAGGGCTGGCCATCCTTACATGGACACTGTATTAATGTTCTAGCATCAATATGGTCTTCAGGGGCAGGATATGGTAGCTCTTGGCTTTAATCCCAGCACTCCCGGAGAGGCAGAGGCAGGCAAATGTATGGGTCTGAGGCCAACCTGGTCAATATAACAAGCTCCAGGACAACATACAGACCTTGTCTCAAACAACAAAAAGGTCTTCAGAATTTACAGCCCCTGAATCTAGCTTCTAAGAGACCTTGGTCCTGGTGTTCACAGGTTCTTTGATGGAAATTCAAGGTAAACTTGTGGAAGTCGGAGAGCACTGCGGAATAAGGTGCAACTTGACTTTGGAAATGTAATGAGCTAAAAATCCTTTTAATGTTTACTTAGAAATAAATTATACACAAAAATCTTTCTACTTTGGATCACTGCATTCAAATATATCTTACATACAAACTATTGATAACTTGGCCTTTTAAGCAGTTTACTTGGGGAGTATTTTTGAAGGATATAGATATACATATATTTAGTGTGTGTGTTGCACGTGTGTATGTATGTATGTATACCATGTGTGTGACTGGTGCCTCTAGGTCAGAAAAGGACATTGGATACCCTGGGACTGGAGTCACAAATGTATGTGAGCCACTATGTTGGTGCTGGGACCTTCTTCAAGAACAGCAAATGCTCTTAGCCACTGAGCCACCTTTCCAGCCCTCAAAAGACTCATGTTGGGGGCTGGTCTGGTGCTATGCATTCATATGCTGATTGTAATGCTTTGAGATCCCTGCCACAGGCATTGTTATGAATGTTGAACTATTTCCTGTACTCAAACGGTGAGAAGGAATGTTCACCAATTATCCTTAATTAGCTGCTTAAAAGGCCTAAACCCTGGAAGGGCAGGAGATAGGTAGAGCTAAGGTTTGCAGGCTTAGGGGACAGGAGAGGATCACAGGAAAGAAGGGGTAAGAGGAGGAGAAGGGAAGGGAGAGCCACTGTAGCTTAATGTGAGAGCACATGGCGACAAGGATGGAGGAAGCGGCCCGGATGAAAAATAAGCAAGTATTTATGGAACTATGGCTGGGAGGTAGCCTGGGATGGGGTTGGGTCATAAAGGTAGTTTTAGAGGGTCAGGATCTGCCCTGTCTGAGGTGATATTAGGCTGTTATAACATCTGTTAGGTGACTGTGTCATTTACTGATTGTGATTGCAGGTTAGATATACCGCCATGATAATTATAGGCTAATAATAAACATTATTAGACCATACCTTTAAACTAACAGCAACAGACTAATTTTTAAAGGTCATCCAGTAACACAAGGATTTGGAATAAAATAAGAACAAAATCAGTTAAAAATTCTACACTTGAAAAATTTCTTCTGTACATGATCCCTTCACAAAGTGAACCCTAACTATGCTGCTTTCTCTGTTGAGTGGAAGTGACATTCACAAACAAGCTCTAATTAACAACATCTGGATACATTAGCAAAAGGGTTAGTTTTTGTTTTTTTCACATCATCAAAGAAACCCATCAAAAAAAACGTTCCCCCCCAACTTGTGTTTTAAAAATAAAAAGGGTGACATTAAACTTTCCCTTCAGAGCAGCTCAGCCAGCTCACTGCAGATTTAAGATAAAACATATTTAAAGATTCATGCCACATGAAAACATGTATCCTTGCCAAATTTAAAAGTTAAATTTATATTTAGCATTATATACAATCAATGTGAGTATAGGCTTCCACTTAAAATTCTATAAGCTTTAGTAGGCAAATCAGCTGAATTCACACAATTCTAACTGAGAAAACTATCCAATCAGTCACTACAAAGCCTTACTTAGGAAAAAGGTCTACTGTACTGACTTAACACAGACCTAAGTTGAAAAATTCTGAGCAAAATTTGTTTTACAAAGACCTATGGTTTAAAAGACTGGCATACAATATACCTTTTAAAGAAAAACTGAAACTGGGTTGCAGACACACAGTTATAGATTAAGACCCTTTAGGACGCTGTAAGGACCATAGCTTCTTTACAGTTTTCTGGTTTTTAAACTAGTATGAAATCAAATGATTCCCTGCCCCCAGCCTTTTCTGGCTTTATTCCCTCCTTGTCAGTAATTCATAGGTACAGAAATCACAAGTTTTACGATGATTCTTAATCCATCTCTCTAGAGACCACATGCTGAGTGCAACTGACTTAGTGAAGCTTCTCACATAAGCAGCAACACACTAAGAATGCAGCAAGAGTTCCAAAGAATCTGAAGATGGCAGAAGCCGTTTTTATGAAATTCCTAACAATAACATTAAGGCTGCGGGCTCTTTCTCAGGTTCACTTTGGCTTGCCTTTGTAAAGAAGAGGTGGAGGAACATGGCCCAGAACATATGGTCAAAAAGCACAGCCAGGTTGTAAGCAAGAACACACACAAGACTAAGTTTCCATTCACGGATCAAAGAATGACTTTTATTCACATCACTAGCAGATCCCAGCTGTTATAGTTACTCTGAGATAGACTATTTTGCCAATGACAGAAAAAAAAAAATCTCTTCCAGTATTTAACAATTGTAATTTAATTGCTTAGTTATACAAGTATAGAGTAAGAAGCAATTAATGAATCTTGGAAATAAAAAATATGTATATACATCACCCTGATGCCTAGGCCAAAATATATCTAAAAACAAATTTTCTTGATTTCTATTACTCATAAAAATAAGAAAAAATATTGCAAGTATTTTTCTTTATAGACAATTTCCATTAGAAAACAATAGTTTAATGAAAACAAGACAGTGGTTCCTGTGAGTATGCTGACGCGGAGGCGGGAGAAGTATTCAAAACTTGACAGCACACTGCCAAAACAACTGAATACATGCCTCAGTTACACTTCTTGTAGGTAATAGCTAGATTTTTTTTTACACATCTCAATTTTATCATATGAATTTTTATCTTGTGTTCAAGATAAATATAGGGTCAGCAGCGAGTTGTGAGGCTGTGTTGTAGTTAAGAACCCTTTCTTTTTTTGGCTTGCAAAATGTAGCCTTTTGACTTGATGATTCCTCTGCTTTTCACAATGACTGAGTATCTCAGCAGCCACAGCGGCACCCACTCCTGGGCTTCAATGTCAGGAATGCTTTCTTGAAGAGCTTCTTGGAAAGTTGCCTCAGAGAGCAGTTCTAAAACAGCAACCCCACAGGTTAGGTTTGAAGACAAAAGCTTGTTACTATGTAAGTAAACATTTAAACACAACAGAACTGAATACTGGGCCAGGGATTAGCTGGTTGGTAGAATACTTGCTGAGAATGCACCTTGTTTTGTTTACCCCAGTCACATAAACCAGCTCTGATGGCACAAGGCAGGAGGCCCAGAAGTTCAGATCATTCTTGGCTATATAATGACCTCCAAGCCAGCATGGCTGTAGGAGACCCTAACAACAAAATTGAATATAATATATATGTATCCTCTAAACTGAGGCACAATATTTAAAATGGTTTTTTGTTTTTGTTTTTTTAAACACATCCCTGTACCCTAGCCTCTTCAGTTCCTAACTTCTGGTTAGTAGAGACAAAATTTGCAATTTTTGAAGATCTCCTGAGAACTCTAATGTACAACCAGGGAATATACAGAAAATAAATCATCCTAACCCTATACTTACAGTATTTCTACTACTGTGTATTTATTTCATCAAGATTTTTTTTCTAGGTATGGGTTCACTTACACCTACACCTACACACACACACACACACACGAGAGACAGAGAGAATGTTCATATAAATACAATATTATATTTAATTACATGGAAAATATTAATAAGTGCAAGAAATGGTAACTACATGAGGATTTGAAGTCACATCATTTAGCTTCCCCATTAGTATACTAGCTATACAGCATAACATATTCCTTATCACTGGCAAAAGGAGATCTAGTTTTTCTATTACTTTTAACTTTTGCTTTGGCCACAGCACAATACTTACAGGATCCTGCCAACTGGTTTACAACTCCATCATTACACAGAGACAAATATACAGGCTTGTATGTTTTAAATTAATATCACAATACACACTCAGAATTAATTTCAACACTTATTGTCTTTTTCTTTTTTTTTAAATTTGTGTATATGACACTGGGCCATGTGCATGGTAGACACGCATTCTGTCTTTGGCCTGCACCTCCAGCCCACTAAACAAATAGTTTTTGTCTTCCAAAACCTCATGATAAAAGCCTATAAATAAAAATATCAGTCTTACCTTTTGGGTCATTATGAGTCAGTAGCTGTATGTCAAATTGTTTAGCAAATGCTGTCAGATCTGGTGGCATCACACAGCAGGAGGCAAGATTAACTTGATTACTATTTGGTTTTACCTAAAAGTGGAAATAAAGAGAACTGTATTAAATGATGTCACATAAAAAAACAGAAAGCAGAAAGCACTCAGCAACTACTCACAGTAGCTTGGAAACAGAATTAGTCTACCTGTCTAACAACAGAATGGCTGAAGAAAAAGTCAGAAACACAATGGAGTTTTAGTCACCAAAAGGGAAAGAAAACTATGATATTGGTTGATAAGTAAATCGTCTTAGAAACTATTACGTGAACTGAAATAAGCCAGACTCAGAAAGGTAACACTGCATGTTTCTCTCAGATGTGGGATTTTCAATATAAGACTCTGTCTACATGTACATATGTGTCTAGGTCATGAAGCTACAAAGAGTAAGGAAGACATCTTGATGAATGAAAAGAGAATGGAACACAATGAGGAGAAAAGGAAGGGGCCACCTGAAAGTGGAGAGAGGAGAATTGATGAGAATTTGGTATGATAACCTATGTATAAAATGCTATACTGAAGCCTATTGCTTTGCATGTTTAGTTAGACAATTAATTTTGTGCCTTTGCACGCATGTGTGTACTGGTGCATGCAGAAGCCAGAGGCTGATATCAGGTGTCTTCCTCAGTCACTTTCTACCATATTTTTGAGACAGGGTCCCTCACTGAACCTTGAACTCACTAAGTCAGCTGGATTGGCTGGCCATCCATCAATCCCTAGGGAATCTTCCTATCTCTGCCTTCTCTAGGCCCGGATATCAGAGGCAGGTACTACTGCTTAGGTACTTTTATGTATGCTTTTGTGAATACTAGGAATTGAACTCAGATCCTCAGGCTAATACAGCAAGCACCTTATTAAACCATTTCCCTAACCCCACTTTTTAGAAGAGAGCAATAAACTGTAGATCATAAAACCATATCTGATAATTTTTCATTTATAAAATACTTTTGCCTGACTATCTCTATTAATATATGCCTTTCTAATCCATGTTAGTGATAACAAGGAAAACAGCCTTAGGATGAGAGAAAGATAATACAGAATTACACTATTAATATGAAGACTCAAAATAAAGCCTGCTGTAACTATTAGCAATCTAGCCCATCTGCTTCTGAAGCAGTGCTTCTAAGGCCTATGGTTTTAGCAACAGGGAAACTACCTTCAAGGCAGACACTGACTGTCCAGGTGTCAGCTGTGGCTGCTAATCAGGCGTTTAACGAGACTGGTGACTTCAGGAGTTGCACTGGCTAATGGTTATGTACTTCCTGAATCACTACATCTCCTGCTGTTTCTTGGCCACAAACTACCACCCAAGTCAGTGAGAGAAAGGACAATGCTTTCTATGGTCTTCCTGGTTGTCATCAATTCGGAAAGGTCTGAGGAAGCAGCCGAAAATGAAATAAAAGGAGCAGAGACAAAATACAGAAAGTAAAGGTTATGTGCTGGTTACCCCCCTCATAATTCTGTAGGTTCTTAGAGCAAGAGTGGGGGGTGACGGTCTTATGATACCTTTCCCATATGAGGTTATCCATAAACTAAGTGTAAACATCTTTACTTGGCAGAAAAATGTTAACATACATTTTCTTACTTAAGAAATTAGAGCCATAATACGCAAAATGTAGTATTTTCATCACAGGTAAAACTGAATGAATGGCTTTAATTCACTTGCTCTGAAAACTTAGTGTTTAGTGTTTTCTTTGCTCATTTTAAGTGGATGAATACTCAGTTAACATTAAACAAAAACCCTAAGCTCCCGATACTTTAGATAGAGCCTGTCTCAGAGCTCCCACTTGGAAGTCAGCCCATGGCAAGCATGCACTAGATGCATGATGCTCCACAGCTGTAGCTGTGTCATGATCTGCATGTCCTTTACCTGTGCCCACTGATACAGCTGCTCCAGCTGTGTCTTGTCTAGATCAGAGGTGCCTATAGCAACTATTTTCTTGCTCTGAACTAAGTTTTCTAGTTCCTCCCAGTAAGGCTGCAAATGCTCCAAGGAAAGATTAACTCCATCTTCAATTGGAGGCGAAGCAATGATCACAGAGTCCAGCTGTGCAACTCCAAGGACTGAGCATGCTGATGGAAAGGGAGACACAAAAGGAAAATGTGTTACACACTAAAACCAACCCTCACTGCCTTCAGCATATCCCACTGAATCCTGTCTGCCATTAACTTGTCTTCTCAACAACAGATTTTGCATAGTTTGTCATTGAGAATGTTCTTTACTTCTCTGTGCAGCAGACACGTGGATCTCTGACCTGCTCTCTTCTCTGAGGTTTTCCCTCCTTTATTTTTAACTAACCAGGTGCTGAAAATGAATCCAAAGTATTTGTATTTTGTTATCTTTTTTAGTATTTCATCTATCATTTACTACTTAAAGAGCTAATAATGATTAACAGAAATTTCTATCCTCAGACATAACATTTAACACATTGTTTACATTTCTATCAAACTATCTCTACATGTAAGTGAAAACTGATTCCATTCAAGTCTTTAAAAATTAGGCTAGAATTTTAAATGGTAAAATTGAAATCAGCTTATTTTCTTTATCTAGATTGGTTATAACTAATCCACCTAAGATAATTAAAAACCCATTATTATGAAACAGTTTGTTTGTTTGTTTTCTCCTAGACAGGGTTTCTCTGTGTAGCTCTGGCAGTCCTGGAACTCATTCTGTAGACCAGGCTGGCCCCAAACTCATAGAGCTCTGCCTGTCTCTGCCTGGAGAGTGCTAGGATCAAAGGTATGCGCCACAACCACCTGGCCGAAAAAGATAAATTTTTGCTTACCCATGTCAACTGCACTTCTAGTTGATGATGAAGAATTTGATCCTACGATGAACAGTTTTGCTGGGTAACAAAGAAAAGGCTGATTATCCTGTGTGTTGTCGCCTTATTGTTCATGTGTGTCCACATGTTATCATACACGTGTCCACACCTTACTGTGCATGTGTGTCCACATCTTATTGTACAGGATTACCAAGATAGGAATTGGTTTTTTAACCTACTTCTGTAATTGCATTGCTTCACTTTAAGACAGACATATTGACATTCACTGTATATTGTAAATTATATGCTAGTTGGCAACATGTCTGTTATTCAAGAATAAAAGAAATCCATGCACTATAGGGCAGGGTAGATAAACAGGACCTGAAATTACTTTAAATATCTATTTTTATAAGCTAAGCATAATGGAGAGTTTCATATACCTTCTATAATAAGACAAATCTAAGAAAGTGTCAAAGTGTGCAATGAGAAGAAAACTGAAAAAAAAAAAGTCTACAATATAAAGCATGGTATAATGTTTTTAAAGCTCTGGTTGGTTTATCTTCAAAATTTTAAGTTATGTGCCTGTGTGTCATGCGTGAGTGCATGTGTCCTCAAAGGCATCAGATCCCTCTGCAGCTATAGTTGCAGGAGGATGCGAGCTGCATGGCATGGGTACTGGAAACCAAACTCCAGGCATGTGTAAGGAGCATATATGTGCTCTTCCCTGCCGAGCCATCTCTCCAGCCCCATGTGGTCAATATTTTGTATGTGTGTCTACATAGTAGTTATAGTAGTTATTTTAAAGTTTTCTTAGCGACAATGTGCTTTCTCTAAAAACGAGAAAGATCAATAAAAGTGCAAAGACCAAAAAAGATAGCAAGCAGTCTTATCACTCAAAACTTTTATACAATCATTTCTTGGTTTCCCTTCAGTGCTGAGCATGAAACCTGTATGTATGGAGGTAAATAAATCCTGGTCCCCTGCCTATGTTTTGAATGTATTTTTAGATGGGGTCTCCTTTTCTAGCCCCATCTACCTTCCAGCCACAATCCTCCTGCCCTCACCCTCCTGCCCACCCAGGTTTCCTTTCTCATCTTGAGCATTACTCTGCAATCTGACAGGGTGTGGTTCACTAAATGGGCTCCTGCCTACTCAACAGCTATGTTAGTAAATGTTCCAGCTGCAGCTCTAATTTTTGTTACATAAACAACTTGGTCACTTTTTATTCAACTTTATACTGAATCATTTCCCAAAGAAGAGCTGTTAGGTATGTGATTCTGAGTAAAAGGATCGGTGTAAGTCATGGGCCTTGCTCTACTTATCTGCCATCTCCAGACCATCAACAGTGCTCTACGGTGCAGGGTGCGCAGCCAGCGACATCTACACAAACAGAAAATCTGAAAACCTCTGAGACCTGAAACATCTCTAACTCCATGCAGTCAATCTGTACTAATTTCTTAAAATTTATCAGATATAAAATGTAGCCTCCTGGGATTGTATTATTTGAAATTTCTTTGGTTACTAGGGAAATTTAGTTTCTTTTAATTATAAAATGTATGTGTGTTCATATGCATGTGTAGAGGAAGGTGGCTACGGAGGCCAGAGGGGGTGTCAGATCTTCTAGACCAGGGTTACAGGTGGTTGCGGGGTGCCTGATGTGGGAACTGGGAACCAAGTCAGGCGTTCTGGAAGAACAGCATAAGCTCTTTACTCCTGAAACATCGCTCCACCCCAGCAAGTTAATTTTTAATAAGGTAACTTACACATAAAAGGCTGAAGCTTTGGCTTGACTTAAACTCAACTTTGTGTGTGCACACTCATGTAAAGCCACTGTCCACTGAGCACATTCAGATTTCTAAGCCAAGGTGAGAGTAGCGGGGCAACAATGACAGAAAACAGTGAGAGACAACGGAAGGAAACGGAGACAACAAACACATTTATACACAGGGACTGGACAACAATGACAGAAAACAGTGAGAGACAGCGGAAGCAAACAGCGATAACAAACACATTTATACACAGGGACTGGTGTTCGACAGATGCAACAAATGTCTCTGTGACCCTGTTTATCTGTCCCCTTTTCTACTACTAGATCTTCCTAGCATGTTCTGGTCCGGGACGTATTCCTGACAGCAGCCATTACAGCTCCCTTCTCAGATACATCAGTGTTCAATTAGGTCCAGCCTTGGCTCCCACAACACAGCCTGGAAAACCTTCCACGGCTGGTGCAGCTGGGTGATAGAGCATTTGCCTCACGTGTGTGAAGCCCTGGGTTTGATCCTCCTTTCCTTGACTTAAATAAAACCCTCCCACTACTAATCCCTGCTCCCTAAATTTTGCCATCTGGGGTGCACTGAGAAAGAAAAGGAAAGCTTCTTATGGTGAGCATTTTATTCTTATCAAAATTCTCAAACAGTTCCAGGAATAGAGGACAACTTGGAGAACACCTAAGCTACACAAGAATACTGGCTTTCCTTTCCTACACAGCAGCGACGTGAAGTTCACGGAAGAAACAGGTTTTAGAGTCAGGCATACCTTCACAGCCTGTGGGTTCATCAATTCACTGGCTGAAAGACAGCTTTCTTTTTTCTTTTCTTTTAAACTGGTGGGGTCTCATTAAGTTGCCAGGCCAGCTGAAACTTCTGATCCCCCTGTCTCATCCTCCAAGTAGCTGGAACTACTGTGTGCAGCTACACCCAAGTCTATGTTAACTTCCACATTATTTAACGTCACTGGTATAATGGGGAGAATAGTCCTTCCTGGTACATTTGTTTTGATAACTATATAAGCAAATATAATCATAAAGGGACAGTTCAGTGCTTAGCATAAAACAGGACTCAACAGATGATATTACGATTGGAATGAAAAGGCCATTCTTATCTCATTATCCCATCATACAACTCCATATCAACATGTTAATAAATAATAGCTACCCATTATAGCTTTGTGGCTAGTACTGCCCTAGCTATGTGCCTCTTTTGTTAGTTCATCCATATTATAAAGAAACCTGTGAAATAATTGTATCCTGTTATGGAGATTGAGGCTCAGAGAGGCTGAACACTTGCTAAGAGTATTCTAGTCAGTAGTCTCCACATCCAGGAACCTGAATACAGGTAAACTCAGGATTTTAACGACTCTGCTGTGCTGTCTGTAAGCCGAGGGCAGGAACTGGTAACTTCCACTGCTGCTTCTGAAATGCAGCAGTCACTGACATATGCTGATGTACAGAATACTAATATTCCCTGTCTCTCTGTCCACGTGGCTCGTTGCTTTCTGCACTCCCGGCCCCTGCTTCCCAGTACCCCAGCAAGGGAGGATTTATCTTGGTTTGCATACACACTGCTCCTGACTGCTCCTTTATCCTCTCTGCTTCTTCCACTTTCTATTGCCAAGTAAACACAAATCACACGAGGAACAGTAAGTCAAAGTTTCACTGTGACTGCACAGCACTCAGCTCTGATGTCCTGTAACTCCCTCCTCAGATCCAACATTAGAATTATGTTACAGTCTGTTTTTCACACTAGTGACAGAGTCATTTACTGTCAGAGGAAGGATTTACTCTCATGTGTGTTTACTCCATGCCCCCACCCCACAGGCACAGGAAAGTGACTGTAAAGGGCGGAGCTTACCAGAAACTTTCATTTCTTCTCTTTCATCAGGGTTTATCTTCTCGACTGCATGGGACACGGTGCATTCCAAGACATCTGGAAACTCCTGCAGGAAACACAACATACAATGGACATAAAATTAGCACTGTTGACTGTAAAGTTTCTTCTTGTCCTAAGCACTTCAGAAGCAAAGAACTCAGAGGACAAGATTCTTTGTGAGGTCTATTGGACTTGACAGGCTTAGTATACATATAAAGGTTAAATGTGCATGTGTATGTTTCTATTTTCTGGAGAAAAAAAGTCTCATTTTGACCAAGTATTCAAAAGAATTCAAGACCAAACAAACAAACACAAAGAAAAAAAGGAGGAGCTTTAAGTTATGTGAGGCGTTCAAATCAATGAAAATTATGTATTTTGAATAATGACATGTTCAAACCTTCTATATTAATTATCAACAGTCTTAGTTACTGTTCTACTGCTATGAAGAGACACCCATGGCTAAGGCATTGCTTATAAAAGAAAGCATTAAACTGGGGGCTTGCTTACGGTTTTAGAGGTTATCCACGGTTATCATGTAAGAAGGCAGACAAGTATGGCACTGGAGCAGTAGCTGAAAGCTCTACATCCTGATCTACAGGCAACATGCAAAGAGACAGACTGTGTCTGGCTTGGGCTTTAGAAACCTCCACGCCCACTCCCAGTGACACACCTCCTCCAACAAGGCCGTACTTCCTTAAGCCTTCCCAGCAAACTATGAGACTGTGCTATACCAAAGATGGTATTCTTACTTGAACAGATTAAAACACCTCCTAATAGTAGGCAGCTACTGATTTAGCAAATGCTTTTTTCTCAGTACCTGTCCATAAGGACCACCAGAAGCAATTTGCTTTCAGTTGGGAAGGCCTGCAGTGTATCTTTCCAGATTTACCTCAAGGATATACTAACTCTCCAGCCCTGTGTTATAACTCAGTTACAAGGGATCTTGATTGCCTGTCTCTCCCACAAAATAACACAATGATTCACCATTCTGGTGACATTATGCTGACTGGATCAAGTGAGCAGGAGGTAGCAACCACTCTGGACGTGTTGGTAGCATATATGTGCATCAGAAGATGGGCAATAAACCCAACCAAAATTCAAGGGTCTTCGACGTCAGTGAAACTCTTAGGAGTCCAGTGGCATGGGGCATGCACAGATAGATAGTCCTTTTAAAGTGAGAGTGCGCTACTGCACCTGGCCCTCCCACCAACAAAAGAGAAACACAACGTTTTGGATTTTAAGGACATTACGTTACTCATTTGAGTGTGTGACTTTGGTCCATATACTAAGTGACAAGGAAAGCTGCAAGCTTTGAGTGTAGCCTGGAGCAGAAGAAGGACCTGTTAGAAAACAGGTCCAGGCTGCTCTAACACTTGGACTACATGCTCCACAGACCCAATGGTACTTGAGGTGTCAGTGGCAGGTAGGGATGTTATTTGGAGACTTTGGCAGGACCCTGCAAGTGAACAACAAAGGAAATCCTTGGAATTTTGGAGTAAGGTTCTATCATCATCTGCAGACAACTGTTCTCCCTCAGGGAGATGGCTCTTGGCCTGCTTTGAACCTTAGCAGTAACAGAACATTTTACAATGGGCCCCCAGGTTACCATGTGACCTGAGCTGCCTATCATGAGCTTAGTATTATCTGACCCACCAAACCATGAAGTAGGACATGCACCGCAGCAATCCATTTTCAGATGGAGTGGCATATACAAGGTGGGTTCCAAGCAGGTCCTGATGGCACAAGCAAGCACACAAAGAAGTTGCCCAAATGTCTATAGTTTTTACTCCTGTTACAATGCCTTCTGCTCTCAAGCATAGACCTGTGGGCTCATGGGATGGGCCCTATGATGAATTGACAGGAAGAGAGAGAAACACTGCGCCTGACATGGGCTTCTGAAACCTCCAAGCACACTCCCCAGTGATAGACCTCATCCAACAAGGCCACACCTCCTGATCCTTCCCAGCAAACAAATGAGCTATGAGGGGCTATTCTCATTCAAACCACCACATCAACTTAAAAACAAACAAACCATCTTATCACTCTTTTGTATTTCAAGGTCATCAAGCTTTGATCTGTTAGGGTAACATAGCTTCTTTTCCCTCAATACATCTTTTCCTAAAAAGAGCATTGTAGGTTCACAGCAATATGAACAGGAAGAATGCAGAGCTCCCTTTACCCTGCTCTCACACAAACTTTGCCTGCCCCACTATCAACATCCCATCGGAGTACTTCATCTGTAATCACTTAGAATGCACCCTTTCCAGATTGACTTCTTTCACTTAGGGATGTGCATTTCGGGCTCCTTCATGTCTCTTCTGGCTTGAGAGCTCACTGCTTTTCAGAACTGAGGAAAGTATCATTGCCTGGATGCACCAGTTTTAATATCCATTTGCTATCTAAGAGCATTTAAGTTACTTCAAACTGGCACAAAGTATTGTATGCATAAATACTCAAGTCATTTGAGCAGGTAACAATGCAGAAGACCATTTGACAGTAATATATTGTTTTGTAATTGTAAAAATATTTTACGTTAAAATATTTATTGAGTTTACTTTTTAAAAAGCAGGGGCCATTCAATGAATAATCTGTTAGGATAATGACAAAAGGATAGAATAATAAGAATGATAAAAGGATAGTATTTATCAGTCAGAAACAGATTGCATGAGATTTAACAAAGCAATGATATCTTCCTTGTGGCTCCTGCATACATCACAACAACAAGCACAAATCAATACAAAGTGTTAACAAAGTCAGGCACAGAGAGAAGAATGGTTATGTCACATCAACAGAAAACAACCAATTTCCGTACGGCAGCTACAGGTTAAAAACAGTATGCCCAAAGGACCCAGTATTTCCAGCATATATTCTTTGTTTGAAACAGGGTCTTACGATGTAGCCACGGCTACCTTGGAACTTTTGCTGTAGCCAGGCTGGCTTCAAACTCTATCCTCTTGCCTCGAGCTTCCCAAGGGCTGGGATTACAGACATGTCCCATGATGCCTGGTTGCTCTTCCATACTTTTAAATAGTATATGACCAAACAGGAGCCTTTGTCTGTTGGATTTCAGAGTGTCTACAGACAGTTAACTGTGCCCGTTAACCTTTTTTGAAAATAGCCACCTACTCGCATTTAATCAAGTATAGTTACTTCATGAGAAACTGACATTTAAAAAGTTGTTCCTACCTGTTTTACTGGAGTGATACTTTACCAAAGCAACCTAAGGCTGATAATCATTCTTATACTAGACCAAATAGTAACTGGAACAAAATACTGGTGGCTGAGGAAATTGTGGTGGGAGCAGAGCAGGAGGAAACTATATGAGGAATGACTAGAGACCAGATATTCTGCTCGATCCTACTAGACCAGACCACCATTTCAGCAAAAGAGCCACAGAGCTTTTTGGCCAAGCGCCTGCTGGGCTTCACTCAGTAAATGAAAAATTAACTTTACATCTGCTTAGGCCTGCAGGATTTCTGCATGCACATTCCACTTACCCTGACCAAATCAGGGCTGATTTGGGAACTCCACTCATTCAAGGTCTTTTGGATACAGTCTCGAAGCTGTAGAAAGAAGCATTTCAAAGTTAATCAACAGTTCTTAAAACCTAGTACTTCAGTAAAGACACATCAGTAAGTGGAAGGGGAAGGGACAGTAACAGAAAATGCTGCACAAGCCCAGTTTATTCTGTAAGGCTTGTTTCTACACTATAAAAGCAAACCTTACTTTGTGTTAGTCTTAATTCTTTTTTGGTATGTTTGTTGAGACAGGGTCTCTCTACATAGCCCTGTCTGTCCTGGAATTCACTTGGCAGACCAGGCTGGACTCAAACGCAGAGATCTACCTGCCTGTACCTCCTGAATGCTTCATTAAAGGCAGGCACCACCATACCTGGCCCTCAATTAATTCTTGGATGAAAGTGATAGTCTAGTTATTTTGACGGTGATTTTGTACCAATAAAACTTTAAGGCACTAAAGTCTTCACAAAGAAAGAAAAGATCATCTCAAAAATATGGTTATAAAAGAACTTAGGCCAGGTTGAAGTGGCACAAAGCTGTAATTCCAACATCCAGGAGGTGGAAGCAGGAACATTACAAGTTCTGAACTAAATTAACTGTGAACTTAGACTTAAGCATGGAGAGTCGGAACAGAGTTCACATAAATCACTAGGTCACTATGTGACATTCCTCAAAACAAACAAACAAACAAACAAACATAATGGGCTTCAGGGAAGGCTCATTAGCTCCTGCAAAGGACCTGGGTTCAGTGGTCCCCTGACATATTCGCAAGTGAAACACACAGATACATTTTTTTAAAATGTCAATTTTAATAAACATTCCAAGTAACTTCCATATAATTCTATAGTGTGAAAACCATCAGCATGGCTCAACTTGCAACATGACAACCCATAAGTCATTTCCTAATACACACGGTACATTTCTTACCTTATCTTCAGTGTTTTTTTTAATAAAATATTCTTATACTAACATCATTGTATATAATAAATTAAAATGTGCACTTATATTTATCTCAATGTCAGTGATAGTGGTCTCATATAAGACACATACTTACTGAATGAAGACCTACATATACATATCAGAAAAAAATTACAAAATGCTATTTATCACCCTCTACCAAGCATGCTAGTGGCTACTATTCTATTAGGGGAAATATACCATTTTAGTACTCACTAAACTTTTTTTATTAAGTTGTTTACTAGACGTATTCATTTGATTCTATGTGTGTTTTGTCTGCATGCATGTATGTACAGCATGTATGTGCCTGGTGCCCAGGGAGAGGCAGCATTAGATCCCCTGGAACTGGAATTAGAAATGGTTGTGAACCACCAAGTCAGTGCTGGAAATCAAACCTAGTCCTCTGCAAGAGAAACAAGTGCTTTTAACTGCTGAGCCATCTCTCCAACCCCTCACAAACTCATTAAAAAACAACAAAACAAATCAAGAACTCCATTACATTGTTTTACTGTGTGTTGGTAGTGGAAGGACAGCTTTTAAGAATCAATTCTCTCTGATGTTACAGGTCTCAGGAATCAAGCTCCAGTTGTTCTGCCTGGAGGCAAGTGCCTGCTTGAGCCATTTTAGTAGTCTGACCCTAAACTTATTTTTGATCACTAATTAACCAACTCTGGCAGCTATAAATCACTGCTTTAAAGAAAACTAAGGACACAGTGGTTCACAGTCTGCGGGCAAGAAATGAAAAAAGAAATGAGTAACTAAAAGGCCCTGAGTTGCAAAAGCATTTTCTTTCTTTCTTTCTTTCTTTCTTTCTTTCTTTCTTTCTTTCTTTCTTTCTTTCCTTTCTTTCTTTCTTTCTTTCTCTCTCTCTCTCTCTCTCTCTCTCTCTTTCTTTTTTGGTTTTGTTTTCTGTTTTGGTCTTTTGAGACAGGGTTTCTCTGTGTAGCCTTGGCTGTCCTGGACTCACTTTGTAGACTAGGCTGGCCTGGAACTCACAGACAGTGGCCTGCCTCTACTTCCCTGAGTGCTGGGATTACAGGAGTGCACCACTGCATGGAGCTCAAGAATTTTCTTAATAGCAGTAAGGGACCACATTTTTTAACTCACTATCTTAACTATGACTGCTTATGATACAGATTGATACAACATGCATTTTAACAGTTCTTAGTACAGATAATTACAAGGGACAAGAGGGTATCCATTCAAGGAAGCAGAGACACGATCTACAGTAGTATTTTATGTGCACCCACAATAACTCATCTGGATTCAAGTTACAAGATCTGCATTGTTATGCAAAGCACAAACTATGGTCAGATGAAAATCACAAGTCAATATACTTTTTGTTGTTTTTTATTCTTTTGTAAGTTTTGTTTTGTTTTTAGGTTACAAAGAATTAAGTTTCATTATTGTGTTTTTCAAAGCAAATTTTGTTTCTGTTGTTTCTTTCCTCCTTATATCCTATTCCTCTCCATCAGTCCTCAATTTCTCTCCATTTTCGGATAAACATGACCTTTTCTCTTTTCTAGTTTCATGGTCTATTCATTCTCCTAACGCCTTCCTTACACAACGTATGTATGTCAGTAAGTCAACATTCTCTTACAAACTAGTAAATGTTGAAGCAGCAGGACTGAGGCTAACAGTTCTATGAGCAGTACCTTAGCTCAAATCTTGCAAATATTCTAAGGTGTTTTCCTCTGGGAAGATGACTAGTTTACATATTAGAGCTCTGCTGATGAATTCCTCAATCCAAGAAGGTAAGTTTATTTTCAAAGTAGGGTTCCCTTTTCTGAAACCATTTCTTTAATCAATCTTGGATTCTGGACAAATTACAGAAAATTTCCAAAGTTAACTGCTTGAGATATCCATTAGATTTACCATAAGCGCAATGATTTCTAATCTTATATCTATAGTGCCTGAATAGTCACGTTGCATTTTTCGTTTCCTATTCTCTCCGTTTTTAGGGTACTCATACAATACCACTAAAGATAAATATCACCACAATCCAGCCAGGCATTGGATATGGAGTTATGTAACAACTTTAAGAAACTACCACACACAGAGCAGTGGTGGCACACGCCTTTAATCCCAGCACTTAGGAGGCAGAGCCAGGTGGATCTCTGAGGCAAGGCAGACACTTATGGTCTACATAGTAAGTTCCAGGTGAGCCAGGACCACAGAGAAACTGTCTCAAAAGAATAAACAAAAAACAACAGAAACTAGCCCACGATTTAATTGGTCAAACACCCACCATGCATGTCCTTTGGTGGGGGGGGAGTTCCTAGGCTGGCCCCCACTGCTTTTACTTCCCAAACACACCAAGCTCCGTTTTCCTGTCCAACTTTTGACTTTGCAACACTACAGTGCTGTCATTTACCAAGGTCAAGGCTCCAGAATCACACAGCAGAGTTACAAATAAATGTTTTAAGTATATTTACAGTTTTGAGTTGGGCCACATATGTTTAGGGAGCTGGGGGGATGGTTGGTTCCTCTACTACAAGACCCCGGTTCGATTCCCAGTGCCCACATGGCAGCTCACAACCATCTGTAACTCCAGTCTCAGGGAATCTAACACCCTCTTCTGGCCTCCACAGGCATCAGACATACATGTGGTTACAGGACATACTAATAGGCCAAACATCCGCATAAAAAATAAAATGAAAACATGTAATTGAACTCCACCAACATGTAAATTTGTTATAATTATAGCAATTTTTTTCCTCTTTTCCATGGATTCTCCTAGGTGGACCAGCCACTAACAATGAATGCAAACTTTGCACTTTCTATGAGGAATACATGGCCGCAGAGTTACTGTCAATGACCCGAGTAAGGAGTGGAAGGTGATGTGGTCTGTCAGTGATGGGAATGGCAAATAAGTCTTTTGTGAAGCATGTTGTCTTGACACACGGTAGTGTGTACCTGCATGGGGCATTCTTACTATAGACCTAGCTCAAAAGGAACTAGAGTGAAAAAGTGAAAGTGTTTGGGATGCATTCTGCATGTCAATCTGAGTGTTCTCAACTTGGTATTGTAAATAATAATATCGAGAAATGTATTCCCGGAAATGTATGCCAGATACTGCCGTGCCTCGCCAGCTGGAACCCAAAACAGCTGGTAGGAGCCTCAAACTTTTCAGTCCCTCTGCAGAGGATGATGTCCACCAACAGGTTGTCATAAAGCCCTTTAACAAGGAAGACAGAAGCACCCAAGACTCCATGTGTCCTGCAACATAACCAACAACATAGTGCTCTGAAGAAACAATGTATTAAGAAAAACAAGGAGGGGGCTGCAGAATTTTGCCCAAGAGAGTGAAGGAAGCCAAAGAATGCCAGACAGCCAAGAGCTGCCACAGGCTGTCCTACTGAGAGCTGCTTCTTGAGTCTCAACAGAAATCAGAATCTCTGAGTCTCCCTCTCTAGCCCATCTCCTTTGTGTCAGCCGCTGACCCACAGAAATACTTTCTACCAGGGGACCCCAGAGGCCATACCGGGTTGAGACTCAGGTAAGAGTCTCCAGCTTCTCCTTCAGCTCCTCCATTCTACTCTGTAAATGTCATTCAGTCCTATCTGCCTGCAGAAGCCTTTTCTTGGCAAGGTCCCAGGACACACCTAGCTCTCTGTTGCTCCTCTCAGCCTTCCCTCCTAGCCCATCACCATTCCTTTCTAGCAGTTCTTAATATGTGGGTCCAGACTCTTTGGGGGGGGTCTAACTGCCCTTTCACAGGGGTTCGGGTTTCACCTAAGACCATCTGCATATCAGATATTTATGATCCAAGACAGTGACAAAATTACAGTTGTGAAGTGGCAACGAAAATAATTTTATGATTTGGGGGTCACCACAACATGGAGAACTGTATTAAGGGCTCACAGCATTAAGAAGGTTGAGAACCAATGTGCCAAACACCAATGCACAGAAACACTCTCTCAAAGAGACTTCACTGCCACCACACTGTGCCTAAGGATCCAAAGGATGCAACAACCAAGGAACAAAACATATAACCCTAAAAGGACAGATAACTACACCAAGATATACCTCAAACATCCTAACTCTAGATGCCTAGATCCCAGTGCAAAAAGACAAGCATGAACAGCAAAGAGAATACGGCTCCTCCAGAAGCCAGCAACTCCACTGTAACAGGCCCTGAGAAAACTAATCTGTTGAAGCACAAAGACTTCAAAATAGTAACTGTTCAAGAATCTTTAACAGGGTATGAATATATGCCTTAATGACAACTGTGAAAATACAGTTGAATGAAATAGTGAAAACAGTTCAGGATACGAAAGAAGAGGTTAGCAGAGAAACAGAACCACTCAAGAAAACCCAAACTAAAATAAAACTCAAAATGAAAAACTTAGGCTATCAAACAAAAATCTCAGAGATCAGTGCCTTGTTCAACTTAGGACAGAGTAGCTGCTTCTGAGAGTAGACAGACTAACACTGGGACTGAACTGGACAATGTTTAGAGAGTGAAAGACTTTGGAGCACACAGCCCTAAATGTGATGTCTTCATCAACCCCCTCCTCAAAGCACAGGGACCTATGCAGAAGAGGAGGCAGAAAGATTGTAGGAGCCAGAGGTGACGGATTGACTCCAAGGAAACAGTGCCCTCCTGACACAGCAGGGCTGAAACACGTATGGGCTCCCGGAGACTGTGGCAGCACACACAAGATTTGAACAGGCTCAAGCCAGATGGGTTCCTAGCACTGAGCGAGGACAGTGAACTCAAGGAAGGTCCCACCCCAACCTTGACGTTATCTGCAATTGATACCGACTGGTAAGGGGGAACAAAAGTCCGTTTTCTCCAGTGGAGTGTCAATGGGTAAATCAATCATACGCCGGGGCAGGCCCCAGGCCTAGAAGTAGCTGGGCAACACAAAGCAAACTCCATGGCTTTTCTGTGGACTTTTTGTTTTGCTTTGTCTTGATGTTTTGTCTTATTGGTCTTCTGCTTGTTCATTTTGAGGTTTTGTGGGGTTTCTGGCTTTTTTGAAAGAGAGAGAACATAAAATTGAATGGGTAGCGAGATGGGGAGGGCTTGAGAGGAATCACAAAAGGGGAAATACATTGTATAAAAAAGTAAATAAGAAATAAATTTTTAAAATAAAACAGTAACAATCTGTAAGGGTAAAAAAAAAAAAAAATACCAGGCCTTGGGAAAAAAAAGTGTTTATTTTTGTTTTGTTTTCCAACTTCCTTATTCTCTTCAGTGAAGTTGTATAGTTTCAAATAGCACATCCTGCTTTGATTTCTGGGTGTTAGAAAATTCTTCATGCAGAGGCTGAGGAGATGGCTCAGGTAGTGAAGTGCCAGCCACATAAGCTGAGGACCTGAATCCAGATCCTAGCACTTAGATAAAAGCCAGGCATGGTGCTGGGACAGGAGGGAGCAGACACAGGCTACTCTAGCCGATCCCTGACCTCTGGTCAGTGAGACACCCTGCCTAAAAAACAAGATAGAGGGTAACAGAGGAAAATATCAGACACCAACCTCTGGCCTCTGAGCTCACATAAAAGACAGTTCTTTATGTAGAGACATAAACCCACTGCGTTCCAACTAATCTGCTCTGGGGTCCTCATAATATGCTGACATATATGGGGACTTTTCCTCAATATTTTCTAGTTTTAGTTTTCATCCTACTCATGAAATATGCTGGAAAAAACCACTACCAACCATAACTAATTCTGTGAACAACATTTTTCAAACTGTGAACATTACTGCATTTAAAAACCAATTTTTAAAGAGCTGAAGAGCTAGCTCAGTGGTTAAGAGTGGCTACAGAGCTCACAGAGGACTCAAATTTGAGTCTCAGCACCCACAAGGCTGCTCCCAACCACCTGTAATTCCCTCTCCAAGGGGAACTGACACACATGCACATACTCATATACACACATACATAATTAAAAAGTCAATTATATTTTTATTTTATGTCCTGGAACTTGCTCTGTAGAGCAGGCTGGCCTGGAACTCAGAGCTCTTCCTGCCTCTGCCTCCTCAGTGCTGGGATCAAAGGCATGCACCACCACAACCAGCTCAAAAAGTCAATTTTTACAAAGTGCAACAGGATAGGAAAAATGTCTACCACACAGTATGCAATGGTTAATAATATCTTTTTAATGCAACCTGCTTCTAATATGTTGATGCACACACATAATCAGAGACCTAGGAACTGAATGAACAAAATGAATTCTTTTCAGTCAAAAAATTTTGAAAGCCTCTCTGAGGATGGCTGAGGGATGCACTGAAATTCTCCAAGAATTAATAAAACATTAAAAAGGAAACGCTGAAAGCCACTCAAGTGTGTTGTGGTGAGATAAGGTAGGAGAACGCTTCACCCAGTACTCTTGGCGAAGTGCTGCACTCAACACAGCCCCTGGACCAAAGGCTGTGATACCTTTGGGAGAAACGGGGGAAGTGGGTAGTTTAAACACGCAAACCTAGCTGGAACCTGAACACGGGCTATGGACTCAGGTTCCTAAATCTGACCGGCACAGGCTCTCAATTTACCATTAGCATTCCAGGTGCTGCTGGTATAGTCTGCCTCATGAAAAGATCAGAGGCTTGTCTCTGACCACAGAGGCTCACGTTACCATATGACATAACTTAGAAAACGTACTCCTTAATCAGGATTTGTTTACCTTTCTGACAATCCAGTTGATAAAAAGAAAAGCCTGGGTGCTGAGTATTTTCATACAGCATTCTTTTACTTACCACAACTTGATGGGAGGGTATATTATTCAAGGTTAAAGCTATGGACAGGAAAGGGATCTCAAAACCATATATCTCCTAAATGTAAAGAGTTTCTATTTATCCTATTCTTTTTTTGAGACAGGGCCTCTCCCATCGTAAGTCAGGCTGGCTTCCAATCCCACGTTCTATTGCCTTGGCCTACAGGGTCTGGGCACCGGCGCACCACCATGTCCAGCTTATTATTTCTGGCACATAATAATCGCACATCTGTTCCGTTTAAGCGGTGAATGTGTTCCACTTTACCAATATGCCTCTGCGATTAGCTGCACAGTCCATGGAGAACTACTGACTCAGAAATGGGCCATTATTCCAGCTGAATCTCTGCCACTTCTAACTAGAGATTAGGGTTTTTGTTTTTGTTTTTTTCTTTTTCTGTTGTTTGTTTTTTGAGGGGTGAGATGCGGGTTGAGAAAGGGTAGCCCTGGCTGTGCTGGAGTTCTCCATCTAGACCAGGCCGGCCAAGAACTCAGAAATCCCCCAGAGGCCTCTGTGCCTCTGCCTCCCCGAGGGCTGGGATTAAAAGCGTGCGCCACCATGGTTAGTTTTGAAGTAAATAAAATGTTAACTTCCAGTAAGTACTTGGCCCCCAAATCTAAATTCAGCACAACGGAGAAACCAATGTCAACAGCATCCAAGTTAAGAAGCACCACTGTCAAGTTCATCCACCAAGCACTAAGCCAATATTCCTTTTACCTGGCTAGGGGAGGACCCAGCGCTGCGGTGGCTCTGTCCAACTTCCCCAGCAGCGCAGGGGATCCCCGTGAGCTAGAGAGCTGAGCGACCAACTCTGAGGCTGGAGCCGGCACCCCTGGCCCCTCGCCGGGATCCGCACCCAGCTCACCGCGATCCCTCCGGAGACAGCCTCCGGGGGCGGCCCGAGCCCCGGCGTGTCCCGCTGGTCCCCCTACCCGCCCGTAGTGGTGGTGGTGGTGGTGGGGCGACCCGCGAGGCACCCCGCGGCCCCACCGTGCTCACCTCCTCGCTATGCGTGGACGGGCACTTCTTCCGCAGGCGGCCCCAGTTGAGCAGGTTCCCGGTCTGCAGGTGCAGGGTGCTGGCCCTCGCCAGGAGCGCCCCGGCCGCGCGGCTGTCGGTGCCCATGGCAGCAGCCGCCCGGAGCGGGGACCCGAGGGGGACGACGGGGACGCGGAGAGCGGGCGGGAAGAGCGGCGGGCCCCCTCGCAGGGCGCAGCGGTGCCCCAGGCCCCGCAGGCGAGCGCGAGGCCGCCGACTCCGCGCGGCCGCAGCCCGGTGTGCGCTCGGGGGCCCCGAGGAGGCCGGGCGGTGACCGGGAGGCGGGCCCGGAGGGAGGCGCCGGCGCGGACGGCCGCGGCGGCTTCTGCGGGCGCCCGGTCGAGCGGCCGGAGAGACGACCGAGTCGTTTCCTGGAAGACAATGACTAAGCAGA